TTTCTATTTTCAATCCACCCTGCACAACATCTTTACTCTCAGTAATAATAATTAAGAGTTAACACCAACTGAGTTCCTAACCATATGTTTGGCCTTGTACTGAACAATTTGAATGAATTTTTTAATCTTTCCAGAAATCCAATAAGTTCTATAATCCTTCTCCTGGAGATGAGGATGTTCGTCCCAACATGCCAGCTCAAACGAGTTTCCTCTGAACTTCTACATCATTTTGTATACCATTGATTTGGCACTTTCTCATATGCTGCCATTTTATCATTATATAATATTTCATATGTATTTTTCTAAATACAAACATTTTTTAGGGTTCCTAAAGGGTAGTTACAATTTAATTTGATACTAAAGTACCCAAATCCATCATAAATTTTCTGAAAACATCTGCTGAAGGAATTAAGGAAGAACTTTCTATAGCCTGCAAAAAGTACTCAGCTTGAAGTTTATTACCAAATTTGGTCACTGACAATTCTCCTTGTAGGGTGCCTTAAATATGTTATAGTATTTCTGTATTGAATATCTTCAGGGCCCCTTTTGGTAGACAGTTCAAATCAAAGGTCCTGGAAGAATATTAAAGTAAAACTTTATTTTTTTTGTATTGGAGATTGAACCCAGATTGAACCTTACATATGAATGCTCTACTACTGGATTATACCCCCAGTACTTTTTATTTTATTTATTTTTTGGTAGGGTAGATGGAACTCAGGGGCACATGACCACTGAGTCATACCCCCAGCCCTATTTTGTATTTTATTTAGAGACAGTTTCTCACTGGGTTACTTAGCACCTCACCGTTACTGAGGCTGGCTTTGAACTCAAAATCCTCCTGTCTCAGCCTCCCCGGCCTCTGGGATCAAAGGCGTGCACCAAAGCACCCGGCTTTATTTTATTTTTGATATGGGGTCTCTCAGTATTTCCCAGGCTGGCCTTAAATATGCAATCCTTCCCTCAGCCTCTGTAGTAGCAGGATTACAGGCATGCAACACTGTACCCAAATGCTCAAATTCAATTCTACATAATTAATACTTTTTCCCTTGAATATCAGAAAAGTTATAATTCCAAATCTCTAGAGTCTTATTGGAAAATGCAGGTGTCATAGAAGATAAAGTTGACAGACAATATTGAAATTCAGGCTATATGTGTTACCTACCCATCTCAAATGCAAGGATTGATTTCATTTACTTCATTATCAATCATGATTTTTTTGCCTATACTAATAAAAATACAAAGTATAATAATAATTACTAGTTATGTTTATCAACTTCTTTTTATGTCCTCATAAGCATTTTATGTGAATCTAATTACTTTCAACAGCTTTATTAAGATGTAATTTTTGTCCTATAAAATTCACCCTTTATTTATTTAGCAGTACTGGGTATAGAAGACAGGAGTACTTTACCCCTGACTTATATCCCCATTGCTTTCTTTGCAGGGGTGGGTACTGGGACTTAATCCAGGAGTACTTTACCACTAATCTCTATCCCTAACCCTTTTTTGATACAGAATCTCACTAAATTGTGAGGCTGGCCTCAAACTTGGTGATCCTCCTTCATCAGCCTCCCATGCCTTTGGGATTACAGGTATACACCATGCCCCCCAGCTTATTTTCATTCAGAGACAAGGTCTCACTATGTTGTCCAGGCTGGGCTCAAATTGTGTTTAAGTAATCCCTGCCTCAGCTTCCTGAGTAGCTGGGATTATTGGAGCCGGCCACTGAGCCTGACTTGCCCATCTTTAATGTATGATTCAATGGTTTGGGGGTTTATATTTACAAAGTCACCATCACCAAAAGTTTATTTTGCTTTATCTTAAATATGATATAATTTACCAAATTATGTAAACATCACCACTATCTAATTGTAGAACCTTTACATCATCCTAAAAGGAAATTCATTAACAGTCATTGCCCATTTCTCCCCAACCCATCCAGCCCTATAGAAGCACTAATCTGCTTTCTGTCTCTATGGATTTGCCTTTTTTTTTTTTTTTTTTTTTTTTTTGTACTGGGAATTGAACCCATGGCTTCTCTACCATGAAGTTACACCCTCAGTAATTCTCACTTTTTTCCATATTTTAAAAATTGGTGCATTATAGTGGTATATATTGATGGGATTTGTTATTACATATTCAAACATATACACAATATAATGATATTGTTTGGCCAATATCACCCCACCTTCTAATTTTTTATTTGGAGATAGGACTTTGCCTAAATTGAGCAGGATAGCCTAGAATTTACAATCCTCCTGCCTCAGCCTCCCGAGTTGGTGGGATTACAGGCATAAATCTGGCTAGATTTACCTTTTTTTTTTTGTACCAGGGATTGAACTCAGAGGCACTCAATCATGAAGCCACATTCACACCCCTATTTTGTATTTTATTTAGAAACAGAGCCTCACCGAGTTGCTTAGTACCTCGCTTTTACTGAGGCTGGCTTTGAACTCTGGATCCTCCTACCTCAGCCTCCCAAGCCACCATGACCAGCTAGATTTGCCTATTTTTGACATTTTGTACAAATGGAATCAGACAATATGTCTTATTTGTGGCTAAATCCTTTCTCTTAGCATAATGTTTTTCAGGTTTGTTTGTTTGTTTTTTGGTTATAGAATGCATCAGAACTTCATTACTTGTTATTGTCTAAACAATATTATATTATATTGCTACACTACATGCAGCTTATCCATTTATCAGTTGATGGATTTGAATTTTCATATCTTGGATGTCAGGAATAATGATGCCATGAACATTCACAAACAAATCTTTGTGTAGATATATGTTTTCATTTCTCCTGGGAGATCTTTAGACATGAAATTACTATGTCAGAGCTGATCACTCTTATTATTATTTTTTGAAGTGCCATGGATTCCAAAGGCCTCAGACAAGCTAGGTAAGTGAGTACCACTTATCTACACTTATCAACCACTTATCTACATCCCCAGTCCTTTAAAAATATACCTACGCACATGCACATATATGTATATATAATTTCTCCCTAGATTGCCCAGGCTGGCCATCAACTTGTGATCTTCCTGCCTCCCTCCCAAGTAGCTGGGATTACAGGCATGAACCAACTGACAGGGGCTAATTTTCATGTCTTGGATGTTAGGAATAATGATGCCATGAACATCTTGGTTATAGCATAATGTTTTTCAAGTTTGTTTGTTTGTTATAGAATGCATCAGAACTTCATTCCTTGTTATTGTCTAAACAATATTATATTATATTGCTATACTACATGCATCTTATCCATTTATCAGTTGATGGATTTGAATTTTCATGTCTTGGATGTGAATAACAGAATTGGGGGGGGATGCTGGGGAAAGCAAATCCAGGGCTTTATATATGCTAGCCAAGTACTCTACCGCTCAGCTACACCCTCAACACCCTATAACAGATTTTTTTTTCTACTTCAAAGAGTTTTTGAAATAGCTGGGGAAACTGACTTTTCATAAAAAATGCAAATATAAAATTCATTTTTGGTATAATAAGGCCAATCTGCACAAGGCTTTCTATTAGCATAATTATATTGTATTTTCTAATGTAGGGTCAAATAGAAATTTTGGGATGAAATTCCTTTTAGTGTAAATCATAAAGCTAAATGGAGTCTGCACTAGTCTAATCAATGCACTAGGTTAAATTCTGTTTTTAAGTCAGATGTCTATATACAAATCCTTATGGCTGACAACTGCTTAAGAGATAAACACAGCAGAGGAGGGCTTACACACAACAAGGAACAAAAAGAAAATAAGAATCTAAAATATTAGGTGGACGCAGTGGTGTATACCTGTAACCCTAGCTACTTGGGAGACTGAGGCAGGAGGATTAAATGTTCCAGCCAGCCTAGGCAACTTAGACTCTGTATCAAATAAGAAAATGGAAAAAAAGAAAAAGGAGAAGGAGGAAAAAATGAGAAAGAAAAAAAATTTAAATATTATATATCCTGATTAAACACTTATTTTAATATTTAAATATTATATATCCTGATTAAACACTTATTTTCCTTCTCTAGGGTGGGCTTGAGAAAAAGATGAATATTAATTATAATACCCCAAACTCATAAAAGCATATGCTGAAATATGCTTTCATAAAAGCATATGCTGAAATATGCTTTCATAAAAGCATATTTCAGAAATTGGGGAACAAATAAACTTCTAGTCATATGTTATTTATTTATTTATTCTGGCAATGTACACTCTACTGCAAATATATTCAGAGAGCAAACCTCGAACACTTTTTAAGACCTGATTATAAAATTCTACATTAAATAAGAACGTGAAAAACACATTTTCATTTGAAGAAAAAGCCAACATCTTGCAGCAAAAATTAGGCATAATCAAGGCAGAAGCTACGAAACGTCCTACCAATCACACCACTAAAGAACGCTACAGGTAGCCCAAAATACGCATTCGCTTCAGTCAACTGCTCCTCCCCTCCCACCAAAGCTATTCCTAGAACGTCAGAGAATAGCCCATCCAGTGATTTGTGACTTCTCTCTTTTTATCCCCTCCCCGCCATCCACCTGCTTGGAGGTGTCAAGGAGACAAGAAATGGTTAACAGTGACCAGCAGCAGAAAGAGAAACAAACATCCCTGACAACCCACAGCTGAGTAAGCAAGCGCTGTTTATTCACGAACGTGTTCCATTTGGAGACCGTCGGCGAGCCCTTGAAAGCTCATTGAAGGCGCATTTGAGAAGGCTCCCAGAGGAGAGAATCGTCTTTTCTCCCCCCACCCTCCAAACACACCGACGCTCGGGTGGAAACGGTCGGGTGGCGGCAGCCCCGACCCACCGCCCCCTTGGGAATAACCTCACGCACTAAAGCATCCGACCCCTTGCGGGGGTTGTGTAACTCCCCCCAAACCGGCTCTGACGTAGGAGAGGCTGGCTCCAGAGCGGGGGGCTTCCCCCCGCCGCCCCGGCCGGCCCCGACGCCACAACCGGGACTGAGGACCTTGACGAGAAATGGCCCTTCAGCCCATTCCCCTCACCTGGCTTCGTCCCACCTGAGGGCGAGAGCTGAGGGGAAAAAGGCAGGGAGGGCTGACCTTGTTGCTACTGACAGTGGAACGGCACATCCTGCTGCTTCCCGGAAAGCGGCCCGAAGGACATTTTTCCCCCTGGAGGAAGGAAACGGGAGGGCGCCGGCCGGGCGGCGGCGGTGGTCCGGGCGGGCTGTGCAGCCTCTAGCGGGGACGGTCCGAGGACTACATCTCCCAGGCTGCTCTGGGCCGACCTGCGTCGTGACCCCGGCGCGCACGGAGGCGGCGACTCTTACCTCACAGAGGTAGCTCCTCCGCCGGCAGCAACTCGGCGCCCGCGGTCCATGGACCGGAACCCCGGGCCGACGGGCAGGAACTCGGGCCGCGATCGCCGCCTCCCCGCCCCAGGCTCCTCCTCCTCGCTGCCCACCACCTCCTCCGGACGCCCGCTGGCCGCGCGCCGCTGCCGCCGGCCTCGCGGAGCCGCCCCGGGAGGCTGGGTGGCGGGTCCGCGGCTGCCGCGGGACTGAGGCCTACTCCGCCGCCTCTCAGTGCTATTGTCCCTGGGCCGGGCACCAACCGGGTCCGCTGGGGAGCGCCAAGTGCGCCGGCTCCGCGGAAGATGCCCGACCAAGCCTTACAGCAGATGCTGGACAGGTACGGGGTGCTTTGGGGGGCGGACGGGGCCCGCGACCCTCGCTCTGACCCCACTGGCGCCGGGCCTCGAGGCTCTTGGTGAGTTGAGCCCGGTGTACGGGGAAGAGTTCCACGGCTGGGGGGCGGTGAGGGGCGCAGAAAGTTTGGAGTCTGCACTTGCGGGAGGCCAGAGTAAGAGGCCTGGGTCATAGATTTAGAAACTAAGTTAAAGAGTGGCTTCTAGTTTTGTTGGAATACCGTTTTGAAACGAAAGGTGCTGGTGTAAACCCATAGAATTAGTTTCTTTTTCTTAAACCATCTCCACCCCCTGCAACTGTGTTGTAAAGTGTTTGTCAGCGGTCCCTGGGAAGAAGAACCAGATTATCGTTCTGGGGAGTGAGCCCCTTATCATTTTAAGCCTCTTTTCAAAAACCAAGGATAAGCATTCTTTTGGAAAGTCTGATAGGCTGATTTCACTCCTCCCTCCCTCCCCCATCCCATCCCATCCCCACCCCCAAACTAAGGTCAGAGTATCCGCAAGGGAGTCTTAACGGTCATACCAGAGTAGAGGTTATGGAAAACAGCCACATGAGTCCAACACCAAACACTTAGCACACTTGATGATCGTTGAGTTCTCTGAGAAAGTTTCAGCTTTTACCGGGGCCAGTGTCCCATTCCTGGGGGGCTCCAATCAGTAAAAACTGCTTGGTGAAGTCGGCTGCACCGCCCTCTGCTGTTCAAATTCTGGGTTCTACCAGAGTTTTTGGAGACTAAATCCAGTTTTTCTCCTAGCCAAGTCTTGCTTCCTGTCGCGCGGCCCAATTGAACAAGCCAATTCATAATGTTTGTGGTTGCTTACAGAGCTCAGTGGACATCACTGGCCACCTTGTTCATCAGGTGGTACAGCTTTTTTGTGCTGAGTAAAGGTCCAACTATAAGGTGTTGGATGAAGATCCTCCCTTAATTGAGATTATACCCTGTTAAACGTTGTTTGGGTCTGCCACACCCAGAACAAAAATCACCAAGAGTAATGCACCTCCCAGAGTGACAGGCATTTCCTTTGGAGCTTAGAATTTTGAGACACCTAAGTTGATAGAAATTATGTCACTGATTTTTTTAGTTGGGATGACTGGTAATTGTGCAGCCCTTGTTTTAGATCAACATTCCAACAGTTGTTCTGTGCACCACTTTTGTTATAATGCAAAACTTATTAGTTGTTATTTTAAATCTTAAAAGAGACCTGCTGAACAGTATTCAGCAGGTAATCAGGAAGTTGGGGTTTTTTAATATTTATTTTTTAGTTGTAGGTGGACACCCTATATCTTTGTTTCAGTTTGATTTGGTACTGAGGATCCAACCCAGTGCCTCACGTGCACTAGGCGAGCGCTCTACCACTGAGCCACAACCCCAGCCCCATTCAGGAAGTTTTTGTTGGATGAATTTTTATGTCAGTTTTCCAAATTTTTATGTCATGTTTTCCCTTCATTGTAATTTAGCACACTAAATTATGGCATACTAAAATATGCCAGAGGCTGTCTCCTGCCTCAGCCAGTTCCATCAAATGAGACCCTGGTCTGGTGCAGGATATTTTGTAATGAATTTTTTTTTCCTCCAAGAATCCTTTCATTTTTACTTTCATGTGGTAACTTTTAAAAAAATTCTTATATCCAAAAGCTGTCCTTGCTTTTCATACAATTTTTACAGATTTCCATAAAAGTAAAAAGTCAAGTAGTGCTAATGAAGCATTTCAAACTTCACAGTAACAGAAATTCTGACTGCCATGAAGCAGGTGACTGTAATACTTACCCTCACATTTTTGCCTTTTTGGCATACAATAAGGTAGTTCTGGTTTTTTTTTTTTTGCACTGCTGGGGGTTGAACTCAGGGACTTCCACATCCTAGGCAAGTGCTCTACCACTGAGCTACATTCCCTGCCCTAAAGGTAGATTCTTACTTAACATGACTTTAGAAGATGTATTGCCTAGTCAAGTAGTTTGCAACCTAATTCTACATTAGAATCACCTGAGGAACATTTAAAATCATGGATCGATGCTTGGACCCTGTCCAAGACCAATGAGATCACAAATTTCTGGAGTATAGGGCCAAGGCATCTGTATTTTCAGAGGCCTTCTAGATGTTTCTGATGTGTGTGAAAACAATTGTCCTAAATCCTAAGGGATAATTTCACAATATAAGGTAGTATTATTTAGTGAAACTAGCTTGTAATTTTGTCACTTGCTAACTATTTGAATAGATTGGATTTTGTATTCTGAGGCTTCATAGCCTAATTTGTAAAATGGAAATATCCTTTCCCATAGGATTGTGTTTAAGAAGACCAAGCATCCTTATAAAACACTATTCATATATGTTAGGCAGACAGAAAATACTTATGACTACCGTAACCAGTGTGGCAATTTCCCCCCATCTCCTTCATATTTACTATCATCTTAGTCTGCACTGGCCCTACATAAAAATCGAACTCAAAGATACTCAACTTGCCTCTTTTGAGGAAAGCTGATAGGCCCAACAGACCAAAATACATCAGCCTGCTAGGGCCCAGAATTCTTTTTATGAATTTAGCTTCTCCCCATCTTGATCATTAAGTGTCTTTTTTTCTTTTATTTTTTACTTTCTTCTTTCCAAATCCACTTGTTTATCAAACTTTATAAATTCTTGTGGTGAACAATTGTTTGAGAATAGTTGGAAAGGAAGTGATTTTTCTAGAGCCATGAAAAATTTGGGGCTCACAAATACCACCCTGAAATTGTAACCACCCATGAGCTTAAACCCTTAGTATCAGACCCTTGGAAACTTGGTCAGCTGAAGTATATTATATATTGCTTTATCACCACCTATGTTCTCATTTTTCTCTTAAATTTCAATTAAATGTATAAAGACAAATACAAGGAATATTGTTTTAAAAAAAAAAAAATCCTGTAGGAGTGGATCTCAGATTTGAAGTCTGGGCCTGCTTAGAGATATTTCCGGAAACTGGACTTTTGCTTCCCCCATCTCACAATAAGCCATCAAGAATTTGTTGAGGGGCTGCGGATGTGGCTCAAGCGGTAGCGCGCTCTCCTGGCATGCGTGCGGCCCGGGTTCGATCCTCAGCACCACATACAAAGATGTTGTGTCCGACGAAAACTGAAAAATAAATATTAAAAAATTCTCTCTCTCTCTCTTAAAAAAAAAAAAAAAGAATTTGTTGAGGTTGTTTTGTATCACTTACTTGCTTTTAACAAATAACGCCAGGAATGTATCTAGAGTGTCCCTAGAACATTCAGATAGGAGAAAGAGCGGGGGAGTATGGTCTACTCCCACAATGGCAAAGTGAATAAAAATCCTCACTCTTTGAGCATATTATTTTCCACAGATGTATATTCCATTAGAGGCCAGGAACACTATATTGATGGAAGCGTGTTAAATCTTTTTTTTGCTTTATATAGGTAACTGTGTCTTAGTTTCCATTAGAACAACTTCACATTCTCTTTGTTAGGTGACATTTTTTTTCCTCAGTCATATCACCATCTCATTTTGACAATTACAGACCAATACCTGGAATTGAAAACCATTAGTTCATTATATTTACTTCCATCTATGAGTAAAAAGTAGAAACATTACCTATAAAAACTCCATTGACCACTATCCCTATTCTCAAATCTTCTCAACCCCACTCTAATATCATAAAGTCAATTTTTATTCTCCAGTCTTCTGTTTAATACTTTTGTATGTAAAAGTATTAGCATGCCATTTTTTTCCCTTAATCCATTTCCCTGTTAAGACATTTAGGTTATTGTTTCATCTTAGCTCTGTATAATTTGACTTTCATTTCCCTTTCCTGTCCTTAGCTGTCCTAATGTATCCTAAAGGTCACCAATAATTTCTTAAATCAGTATAGTGAAGATTTTTTATTTGTCCTCACATCCTTGACATGTATGTAATAGAAATGAAGCTGGTAGCACCTCCTCCCCATTCCCCTGTCCCAGTACTGGATATTGAACTCAGGGGCACTCAAATACTGAGCTACATCCCCAACTGTTTTTATTTTTGAGAATGGGTTTCATTGAGTTGTCTAGGCTGGCCTCAAACTTGTGATCCTCCTGCCTTGGCCTCTTAAGTAGCTAGGTTTGCGGGCATGCTTCATCATGGCTGGCTTCCTTTTACTTCTTGAAACTATGTTTTATTATACCATTCTGTTTCTTTTGTTTTTTCTTCTTGTCTCACCTTTTCTTTAATTAAGTGTGGCTCAGTCCTTTGCATTTATCTTTCTGAAAAGGTTTACTATCTTGCTTCTATCTCTATTTGAGTGAGCTCTCAGATCTATCTTTATTTCTGACCTCTTTCCTTCATTCCACTCAGTACCTCATTTCTAGCTACCCAGTGGACATTTCTGTTTGTATATAGTACAGTATTACCATTTATCTAAAACAAACTGATTCTTCCCCAACTTTTACTTACCTTTACTTCTCAATTTTTAACCTTTGATATGGCCATTCTTCTAGTTCACCAGCTGTAAAACCTAAGCCTGTTTTGTTTTTTTTTTTTTTGTTTTTTTCTTTCTTCTTCTTTCCAAATTTACTCACTTATCAAATAGTGTAGGTTCCCCACCCCACCACCCTGGCACCAGTTTTTCTCTTTGTTCACTTTGGCTTAGTAGCACCACAATTGGCCAAGACATGATTATCATCCTATTTCCATACTTGAAAATCTACCAGTCTCTGTCACTGATAAGAACAGAACTCTAAACTTTCAAAAGCCTAATGTATCCTTGCATTTTCATTGTTGCCTGAATTTATCCTGCTGTTTCATCTCAGTTTTGCTTTGGATGCCTTCTTCCCTCTTAATACCTGGCCATTTCTTACCACATCTTTAGAATTTAGCTCAAATCATCACATTGAATTTTTATGTCAGCTACCCCATTTAGAGTTACTAATAATGTGTGTCCATAGAACCATTATTCATTTATTATAGTATGTCATTATATATGTACATGTGGGTACCACCACCCTCCCACCCCCAAT